AAGCTCAAAAGCCCTATCCGTACGGTATGTCTGTATGGGGGCTAAGCAAAATAATGGACCGATTTCACTAGACTTCATCCTTGGGCCAAAAGAAGAGTTTGTGTTAAAATTCATCAAATTATATTGAAAAATGGGACCTGTGGCGTGCACACAAGATTTACATGGAAATACAGACGGACGGACAGACTGATATACCTTAATCGACTCAGAAAGGGATTCTTAGCCAATTGTTGGGTGTACGACCAATATTTTTGGGCGTTACAAACATCAGCACAAACGCATAATACCCTACCCACTATAGCAGTGTAGGGTATACAAATTTCTGAACTAAAATTAGAAATTTCAGTAATATAATTAAAATTCAATTGGAAAATTCTGAAATACAAATGAAAACAGTGTAGAACAGCAATAGAAACTGAACTAGAACTGAACTAGAACTGAACTAGAACTGAACTAGAACTGAACTAGAACTGAACTAGAACTAGAACTGAACTAGAACTGAACTAGAACTGAACTAGAACTGAACTAGAACTGAACTAGAACTGAACTAGAACTGAACTAGAACTGAACTAGAACTGAACTAGAACTGAACTAGAACTGAACTAGAACTGAACTAGAACTGAACTAGAACTGAACTAGAACTGAACTAGAACTGAACTAGAACTGAACTAGAACTGAACTAGAACTGAACTAGAACTGAACTAGAACTGAACTAGAACTGAACTAGAACTGAACTAGAACTGAACTAGAACTGAACTAGAACTGAACTAGAACTGAACTAGAACTGAACTAGAACTGAACTAGAACTGAACTAGAACTGAACTAGAACTGAACTAGAACTGAACTAGAACTGAACTAGAACTGAACTAGAACTGAACTAGAACTGAACTAGAACTGAACTAGAACTGAACTAGAACTGAACTAGAACTGAACTAGAACTGAACTAGAACTGAACTAGAACTGAACTACTGAACTAGAACTGAACTAGAACTGAACTAGAACTGAACTAGAACTGAACTAGAACTGAACTAGAACTGAACTAGAACTGAACTAGAACTGAACTAGAACTGAACTAGAACTGAACTAGAACTGAACTAGAACTGAACTAGAACTGAACTAGAACTGAACTAGAACTGAACTAGAACTGAACTAGAACTGAACTAGAACTGAACTAGAACTGAACTAGAACTGAACTAGAACTGAACTAGAACTGAACTAGAACTGAACTAGAACTGAACTAGAACTGAACTAGAACTGAACTAGAACTGAACTAGAACTGAACTAGAACTGAACTAGAACTGAACTAGAACTGAACTAGAACTGAACTAGAACTGAACTAGAACTGAACTAGAACTGAACTAGAACTGAACTAGAACTGAACTAGAACTGAACTAGAACTGAACTAGAACTGAACTAGAACTGAACTAGAACTGAACTAGAACTGAACTAGAACTGAACTAGAACTGAACTAGAACTGAACTAGAAACTGAACTAGAACTGAACTAGAACTGAACTAGAACTGAACTAGAACTGAACTAGAACTGAACTAGAACTGAACTAGAAACTGAACTAGAACTGAACTAGAACTGAACTAGAACTGAACTAGAACTGAACTAGAACTGAACTAGAACTGAACTAGAACTGAACTAGAACTGAACTAGAACTGAACTAGAACTGAACTAGAACTGAACTAGAACTGAACTAGAACTGAACTAGAACTGAACTAGAACTGAACTAGAACTGAACTAAGAACTGAACTAGAACTGAACTAGAACTGAACTAGAACTGAACTAGAACTGAACTAGAACTGAACTAGAACTGACTAGAACTGAACTAGAACTGAACTAGAACTGAACTAGAACTGAACTAGAACTGAACTAGAACTGAACTAGAACTGAACTAGAACTGAACTAGAACTGAACTAGACTGAACTAGAACTGAACTAGAACTGAACTAGAAATGAACTAGAAGTGAAACTAGTACTCAACTAGAACTGAACTAGAAATGAACTGGAACAGAACTGAACTCGAGCTGAAATCGAACTGAAGGTCCCTGTAAATAACAGTAATCTAGCTATTAGACGGTAGTCTGAGCATAAGTCGGTTGCCTCAGTATAATATGGTCTTATGATCAAATTCTGAATAATTTTGTATAACACGCTAGATTTAATTTAAGTTAGAAGTCATGTGTATGTTAAAATCAAGAATTAAAAGATTTTAAAAAACTAAAACCCAACCAACAAAACAAAATTATAACAATAAGCAATAAAAAAGTGGTTGTAACTCATATGGTAATGTAATACAACAAAAATTAAAGTGAAATAAATAATAATAAAAAAATAAGATCAGTAATTTAATAAATGGGCTAGCTGGACACTAACATACACAGAAGGAAGAGAGAGTGGTGGAGCGTAAAGAAATCATGGCAACTTGAAACTAGAACTAGGGGAAGCAACATTAAACACAAAACTTGAAATGTTTAATGACAAAAGTGTGGCAAACTGCTTAAACACTTTGGAGGAGGGTGGTAAAATAATAAGTCAGTTTTTCAAGTTTGAGGTTCAAGAGCAATAACAACTAAAGCAACAAATCACAGGCCAACGCCAACAATTGTCACAAATATATCACCTATTACAGACAATTTGCTATGTAAGACAAACTGACTGCCTTCATGTGTAACTGTCCGTCCATCTGTCCGTCTGTCGGTTTATTTGTTTGTTTTGCAAACTATAAGGTGTAAATCATAGAATAGAATAGATAATTGTAACAAAAAAAAATTAAATAAACTGGAACCCTCGAAGCTAAACTAAATTGGCTGATGCAACCTAAAAACAAAATGCAACGATAACAAATGGCTATGGAAAGCAATTTTAGTTCTAGCCATAGATCTATGTATATAAACCGTGGCATAATTCACAGCAAACATCAAACAGTTTTCAACCCTTCGAGTGTAAACAGTTAGTAAAATAAACAAACTTTACAAAATGTTCAAATACGTAAGTTTTCCTTACAATGAAATATTTTAAATAAAAATATTTATATAATTAATTCTCTAATTACAGGTCGTTGTTGTCTTGGCTATGTTGTTGGGTTTGGCTTTCGCTGCCCCCAATCCTGCACCTGTTGCCAGCCCCAATCCTAATCCCAGCCTCTTGCCTTTGGGTCTACCAGTACCAATTGGTCCCGTTGTCGTTGGACCCAGACTATTGCCCGGACCAGTTGTCGTTGGCCCCTATGGTCCAGTAGTTGTTGGTTAAATGAATTCGTCAATGATTTTGCCTACAACTATAATCGAATTGCCATCCTTTTTGTAACATTGATTTTTTTGGACATAATTTTGCGAGCACCCATCGTGTACCCTGTTGTGAAATTTTCGTCGTAATTTCTTTCTTAAGTTTCTTTTTTTCTCTTTCTTTCTATTTTGCATTAACATTTCGCTATACATATACAAAAAAAATATATATAAAACACAAAATGTAAAAAAAAAGATTTATAATTTTGTATGCAACTTCAAATAAAAATTCAGGTTAACATTTAAAAAAATATATATATAATAACGGTTTTTATTTATCTTGTTCGAAAGGTTTAAAGCATAAAATAATATGTTGAAGAATTGATCAAAAATGCCTAAAAGTATGCTGATTATTGGGGGAGTGTGTTTGAAAAACATTAAAATAACTGTTTTTCAAACAGTGGAACAAGAAATAATTCAAACCAATACCACTAAATAGTAACGCGACTCGAAAATGTGTGAATAACTCGCTCTCTAAAATCGCTTTCCCGAAGACAATGGAATAAGTAGTGAACTGTTAAATCAACCTGGTATATTGAGAGGGCGAATCGGAATAAGGAGACCCATATGGACAACCACAAGCATATCTCAAGTAAGCGTAGGCCGACTAGATTGTCATATCAGAATAGATCCAGCGATCTCTTAAGGAAGAGAGAGACAGAGCAAACAATTTCAAACTTCATTTACTATATAGAAATCTCTTAGACTTGATAAGCCGATATTGAGGAACTACGATTACCAGACTGGTTATCATAAGAACATTAGGAATTTATATACCTTACTGGTATCAGACACCCAACGAGATCTGATGGCCAGAAAAGGAAGGCTCTAGGAAGGATCAACATAAATTTATGGTAAAACATATTGACTTAAGTTTTCAGAAAACCAATCCTCAATCCTTCAGTCGGAAATCGATGTCATATTCATAATTATAGGCGATCAGAGACATACTACAAGGAGGTGTATTTTTGGCCACTAGTTATAAATAATCTAGTGAAATTTCCTAATGACTTGGATGCCGGCATTCATGTTGTAATAGCGGTAGAGTTCGGACTCAATGTCGTTTCATAAAAATCTTTACTCGATTTACTTACTAAACCGATACTGAAGTCCTCGGAGTACCAGAATATATAAGCCAACAGTTTCTGATATTTTGTAAAATTTTTTTAAATTTATCCCACTGGTCTCAGTCCAGACCGAGAAAGGGCGGATCAAGTATTATTCACGGACGAATCAAAAGAAGTATAAGGCGAGACCTCAGTATAATTTGTAAAAAAAATATTTCCAATTTTTTTTTTGGAATGGATCTTAAAAATTCCAGACAATTTTTTAACATACTGTCATAAAAACAAGATTTTCAATCACAGGTAGAAAAATGAGGCCCTTTCAAAAAACTACCTTTTATTTTTCTCTTATTCTGTACTGATCGTTTGAGAGATATTGCTAGAAAAAAATTGCCAAGGTACATCCTATTATAGCTGATATTATAAGATAAAAATATGATTTTCTTTTTTAAACTATTAAAGGGCCCTCAAATACTGTTGCACCCTGGGTGCCGGCATACCTCAAGATGGCCCTTGTTTTTCGGGTAGATTGTTAAAAATCCTAATATATACAAAGTGAATAGAGTCAGAGGGAAAGATTTTTTTTGAACATAAAAATTTATTTAAGGTAAAAATTAATATAAAAAAAAAAAAAATGCTAAAGGTTCATTTAATGATGAACTGTAACCAAAGGTGATGAGTGCACGACCGGAACTGAGTGAACAACAGGAGCCGAATGATAAGTATGAACAACTGGTGCATGCACCACGGGAGCACTATGAATGGTAGTCTTAACAACAGGAGTCAAAAGAGGTTCAACTACTGAAGTTTTACTATGGACCTGAGTAATACTCTGATGAGAAACAGCCGAGGGCGAAGAATGAACTATGTGCCCAACTTTGGCTAAAGCGGGTTCATGTACAACATGATGAGTAGTTATCAAACCAGCACTGGCAACCGATAACAAGCACAGGGTGGCGAAAATGCATGCCTAAAGAGATTTTTTAAATATGATATAAAATTTTAAACAAATTTAAAAAAATAATTATTTTAATAAAATAACTTACAAATTTAAACATATTGACTTTTTTTCTTTAATTAATAACAATTTTAAGAAGAACTTTAACAAGTGTTTGGTAAAATGTGTGAATCACAACTGTTGTAAATCCCTTAAAAGTTTAAGGCTTTTATATATTTACATTAAGCTATGTTGTTAATGGTTACAACTTCACTTAAGTGCATTTTGTTTGTTTTTTTTTTCTCCCACTTCTTTTATCAATAAGTGACTACCTTGAATGTAAGTAATTCAAACCATCAATTCAATAAAGATAAAAAACTTGTAATATGCTGTAAATATTCATGCCGTTACCGAATGCCTTGTTGGATTAAAGATAAAAATCGGGACAACATAAGTACGTAAGGAGATTTTAATGAACATGAATATTTTATAAAACAGATAATAAATATTACGTTATAAGAAATACCCTACACTTTAGTCTAGTCTATAGTCTAGTCTATAGTCTAGTCTATAGTCTAGTCTATAGTCTAGTCTATAGTCTAGTCTATAGTCTAGTCTATAGTCTAGTCTACAGTCTAGTCTATAGTCTAGTCTATAGTCTAGTCTATAGTCTAGTCTACAGTCTACGTCTATAGTCTTCTAGTCTAGTCTATAGTCTAGTCTATAGTCTAGTCTATAGTCTAGTCTATAGTCTAGTCTATAGTCTAGTCTATAGTCTAGTCTATAGTCTAGTCTATAGTCTAGTCTATAGTCTAGTCTATAGTCTAGTCTATAGTCTAGTCTATAGTCTAGTCTACAGTCTAGTCTATAGTCTAGTCTATAGTCTAGTCTATAGTCTAGTCTATAGTCTAGTCTATAGTCTAGTCTATAGTCTAGTCTATAGTCTAGTCTATAGTCTAGTCTATAGTCTAGTCTATAGTCTAGTCTATAGTCTAGTCTATAGTCTAGTCTATAGTCTAGTCTATAGTCTAGTCTATAGTCTAGTCTATAGTCTAGTCTATAGTCTAGTCTATAGTCTAGTCTATAGTCTAGTCTATAGTCTAGTCTATAGTCTAGTCTATAGTCTAGTCTATAGTCTAGTCTATAGTCTAGTCTATAGTCTAGTCTATAGTCTAGTCTATAGTCTAGTCTATAGTCTAGTCTATAGTCTAGTCTATAGTCTAGTCTATAGTCTAGTCTATAGTCTAGTCTATAGTCTAGTCTATAGTCTAGTCTATAGTCTAGTCTATAGTCTAGTCTATAGTCTAGTCTATAGTCTAGTCTATAGTCTAGTCTATAGTCTAGTCTATAGTCTAGTCTATAGTCTAGTCTATAGTCTATTCTATAGTCTAGTCTATAGTCTAGTCTATAGTCTAGTCTATAGTCTAGTCTATAGTCTAGTATATAGTCTAGTCTATAGTCTAGTATAGTCTAGTCTATAGTCTAGTCTATAGTCTAGTCTATAGTCTAGTCTATAGTCTAGTCTATAGTCTAGTCTATAGTCTAGTCTATAGTCTAGTCTATAGTCTAGTCTATAGTCTAGTCTATAGTCTAGTCTATAGTCTAGTCTATAGTCTAGTCTATAGTCTAGTCTATAGTCTAGTCTATAGTCTAGTCTATAGTCTAGTCTATAGTCTAGACTGTAGACTAGACTATAGACTAGACTATAGACTAGACTATAGACTAAACTATAGTCTAGTCTATAGTCTAGTCTATAGTCTAGTCTATAGTCTAGTCTATAGTCTAGTCTATAGTCTAGTCTATAGTCTGTCTATAGTCTAGTCTATAGTCTAGTCTATAGTCTAGTCTATAGTCTAGTCTATAGTCTAGTCTATAGTCTAGTACTATAGTCTAGTCTATAGTCTAGTCTATAGTCTAGTCTATAGTCTAGTCTATAGTCTAGTCTATAGTCTAGTCTATAGTCTAGTCTATAGTCTAGTCTATAGTCTAGTCTATAGTCTAGTCTATAGTCTAGTCTATAGTCTAGTCTATAGTCTAGTCTATAGTCTAGTCTATAGTCTAGTCTATAGTCTAGTCTATAGTCTAGTCTATAGTCTAGTCTATAGTCTAGTCTATAGTCTAGTCTATAGTCTAGTCTATAGTCTAGTCTATAGTCTAGTCTATAGTCTAGTCTATAGTCTAGTCTATAGTCTAGTCTATAGTCTAGTCTATAGTCTAGTCTATAGTCTAGTCTATAGTCTAGTCTATAGTCTAGTCTATAGTCTAGTCTATAGTCTAGTCTATAGTCTAGTCTAGTCTATGTCTAGTCTATAGTCTAGTCTATAGTCCTAGTCTATAGTCTAGTCTATAGTCTAGTCTATAGTCTAGTCTATAGTCTAGTCTATAGTCTAGTCTATAGTCTAGTCTATAGTCTAGTCTATAGTCTAGTCTATAGTCTAGTCTATAGTCTAGTCTATAGTCTAGTCTATAGTCTAGTCTATAGTCTAGTCTATAGTCTAGTCTATAGTCTAGTCTCTAGTCTAGTCTATAGTCTAGTCTATAGTCTAGTCTATAGTCTAGTACTATAGTCTAGTCTATAGTCTAGTACTATAGCTAGTCTAAGTCTAGTCTATAGTCTAGTCATAGTCTAGTCTATAGTCTAGTCTATGTCTAGTCTATAGTCTAGTCTATAGTCTAGTCTATGTCTAGTCTATTAGTCTAGTCTATAGTCAGTCTATAGTCTAGTCTATAGTCTAGTCTATAGTCTAGTTCTATAGTCTAGTCTATAGTCTAGTCTATAGTCTAGTCTATAGTCTATCTTAGTCTAGTCTATAGTCTAGACTATAGTTAGTCTATAGTCTAGTCTTAGTTAGTCTATAGTCTATCTATAGTCTAGTCTATAGTCTAGTCTATAGTCTAGTCTATAGTCTAGTCATATAGTCTAGTCTATAGTCTAGTCTATAGTCTAGTCTATAGTAGTCTAGTCTATAGTCTAGTCTATAGTCTAGTCTATAGTCTAGTCTATAGTCTAGTCTATAGTCTAGTCTATAGTCTAGTCTATAGTCTAGTCTATAGTCTAGTCTATAGTCTAGTCTATAGTCTAGTCTATAGTCTAGTCTATAGTCTAGTCTATAGTCTAGTCTATAGTCTAGTCTATAGTCTAGTCTATAGTCTAGTCTATAGTCTAGTCTATAGTCTAGTCTATAGTCTAGTACTATAGTCTAGTCTATAGTCTAGTCTATAGTCTAGTCTATAGTCTAGTCTATAGTCTAGTCTATAGTCTAGTCTATAGTCTAGTCTATAGTCTAGTCTATAGTCTAGTCTATAGTCTAGTCTATAGTCTAGTCTATAGTCTAGTCTATAGTCTAGTCTATAGTCTAGTCTATAGTCTAGTCTATAGTCTAGTCTATAGTCTAGTCTATAGTCTAGTCTATAGTCTAGTCTATAGTCTAGTCTATAGTCTAGTCTATAGTCTAGTCTATAGTCTAGTCTATAGTCTAGTCTATAGTCTAGTCTATAGTCTAGTCTATAGTCTAGTCTATAGTCTAGTCTATAGTCTAGTCTATAGTCTAGTCTATAGTCTCGTCTAATAGTCTAGTCTATAGTCTAGTCTATAGTCTAGTCTATAGTCTAGTCTATAGTCTAGTCTATAGTCTAGTCTATAGTCTAGTCTATAGTCTAGTCTATAGTCTAGTCTATAGTCTAGTCTATAGTCTAGTCTATAGTTAGTCTATAGTCTAGTCTATAGTCTAGTCTATAGTCTATTCTATAGTCTAGTCTATAGTCTAGTCTATAGGTCTAGTCTATAGTCTAGTCTATAGTCTAGTCTCTGTCTAGTCTATAGTATAGTCTATAGTCTAGTCTATAGTCTAGTCTATAGTCTAGTCTATAGTCTAGTCTATAGTCTATGTCTATAGTCTTAGTCTATAGTCTAGTCTATAGTCTAGTCTATAGTCTAGTCTATAGTCTAGTCTATAGTCTAGTCTATAGTCTAGTCTATAGTCTAGTCTATAGTCTAGTCTAGTCTATAGTCTAGTCTATAGTCTTAGTCTATAGTCTAGTCTAGTAGTCTTAGTCTATAGTAGTCTATAGTCTAGACTAGTCTAGATACTATAGTCTAGTCTATAGTCTAGTCTATAGATCTAGTCTATAGTCTAGTCTATAGTTCTAGTACTATTAGATCTAGCTATAGTACTAGTCTAATAGTCTAGTCTATAGTCTAGTCTATAGTCTAGTCTATAGTCTAGTCTATAGTCTAGTCTATAGTCTAGTCTATAGGTCTAGTCTATAGTCTAGTCTATAGTCTAGATCTATAGTCTAGTCTATAGTCTAGTCTATAGTTAGTCTATAGTCTAGTCTATAGTCTAGTCTATAGTCTAGGTCTATAGTCTAGTCTATAGTCTAGTCATAGTCTAGTCTATAGTCTAGTCTATAGTCTAGTCTATAGTCTAGTCTATAGTCTAGTCTATAGTCTAGTCTATAGTCTAGTCTATAGTCTAGTCTATAGTCTAGTCTATAGTCTAGGTCTATAGTCTAGTCTATAGTCTAGTCTATAGTCTATCTATAGTCTAGTCTATAGTCTAGTCTATAGTCTAGTCTATAGTCTAGTCTATAGTCTAGTCTATAGTCTAGTCTAGTCTATAGTCTAGTCTATAGTCTAGTCTATAGTCTAGTCTATCTAGTCTATAGTCTAGCTAGTCTAGGTCTATAGTCTAGTCTAATAGTCCAAGCTACAGTCTAACCTATAGTCGAACTGAACCGTTACTGCAGCCAAAACGTTTAATTGAATTAAAATGAATATCAACAGTTACAATATACAGCTCATACATCAAAACAATCATACTTAACGTCACGATTTTAATGGGTCAGTAGTGTGAGTAAAGAGAAGTTTTATTTTTGAAGTAATTCGGTTAAGAGAAATGAAGGTCATCATCATTAAAGGTGCTACTACTATGCTACTGTTTAGTTTACCCGAAATAAACACAAAGAATCACTTCTCTCCAGATAATTCTTTTTTTCTGGTTTTATGGTAAACAAACCAAGATGTTAATAATTAAAGCATAGTAACAATACGTTTAAGACAACATTACGAAATCATATATAAACTCCAAATCAACAAATAAACAGCATCAGTTAACAACTCAATTTAATATTGAAAACATAACAAATATCATTAAAAAATCTACAAAATGTTCAAATTTGTAAGTTAAAATTTAAAAAATATTATTCGATTTCTAACATACCATTTTTTTCTGCAGGCCGCCATTTTCGCTTCCTTGTGCTTGATCTCTGCTGCTTCTGCCGGTTTAGTGGCCACTCATCATGTTGTCCATGAACCCGCCTTGGCCAAAGTAGGTCATGTTGTTCATTCTTCACCTTCTGCCGTATCACACCAAAGCATTACTCAAGTCCATGGCAAAACCTCAGTTGTTCAACCAGTTTTGGGTCCTGTTGTTAAGACTACAGTTCATACTGCTCCTCTTGTTGTGAAGACTGTTCAACCTGTTGTTCCTGTAGTGAAGACTGTTCATACTCCTGTTGTACACACTTATCACTCTGCTCCTGTTGTACACTCTGTACCAGTTGTACACAGTGCTCCTGTTGTATCTGTACATCATCACCATCATTAAGTCCATTTATTAGGAAATGTTAATTATGATTTTTTGTTAAATAAATTTGTAAAAAATGAAAATTTGTTAATTTGTTTTTTATAAAAAAATTTTTTAAATGGAACTAGGCCACATTTTGAATATCATATTAGATCTTGGGTCAACAAAGTTTACTACCAACAATTGTCAAAATTGATCAATTTAATGATGTCATTCTGATCTGGTCTTGTCTGAATTCATTTGTCCAATTTTGCACAATTTGCAGTAAAGGATAGGTACCATCATTCTAATTTCAGGAAACTTCTTACCCTCCTCTCGATGGGTTCAATGCATAAAATGTTGATGTCCTCCTAGCCTTATACCCTCCTTTCCATTATTCCAAGGGACCGTGTGAGATTTTCTTTCCCATCTTTGGGTTGAACGGTATTACATTATTCAGGTTAACTTCTTGAAGCTCCCTTCAAAGCACATGTGCCCTTTCATTGGGGATTATCGTACCAATTATACCCTCATCAATAGTATGTAGTACTAAGCACTAGAAGAGTTTTCGTTTACGCATCGATTACAGTCCAATTGCTACTGTTGACGCCATTATCAACTCAATCCATTTTACACATTCTGTGATGGAACGAAGTTCCACCTGGAAGGTAGTGATTAGATATAGCGTAGTATATGTGGGTTCTGAGTTTTCATTGTAGATAATCAGACTCTATTACTCATCCAGTAACAATAGATTCCAGCAGGGGGTTGCACTACGATGAAAAAATATTCATCTTTCTTGTGGAATCAATATCTAACAATTCCCGATATATAATCGGAAACCTCTGGTGTTTGCGTATAGCCGTCCAATAAGTCTGGAAAACACCTGTTGCTACCTTTGTTGAACTCGAATAAAATGAATAAAAATTGTTCGGTTGCTGCGTTTAAATTGGGGGAATATCCAGTTATGTTTTCAGAGCTTAGGTTGACGTAGTGCTAATAGATGTAATAGGAGGTCTAAGATCCCATTTTGATCTCGCAGATATCTTGTGTATTTGAAAACTTATTTCAGTTCTCCCCCGGGGCATGTTACCTTTATGATATTTCTCCTCTTGGTGTTATTGTAATCTGGGGGAAAGGATTTGACCTGGGGTCGAACAAGGGAGCCTTATAATGAGGTACCACGCGAATCGGTAGCCTACAAAACAGTGTTTCGGACTTTGTCTTATCCCGTCTATTGGAGAGGTTTTCCACGAGCTGACTGTGGTTTAAACCCAAACTAGCGGAAAGATAATGTTGGTTAAAAGACTGAACCACGGTAAACTCTATAATTCGGTATGAGTTCGATTATGTTGCAGAGACAACAGAAACCCTGGTTAAAAGATTGATACACCGTGAACCATAAATTTTTGGGATAAGTTTCTGTTACCGTTCCTTGTTTCTAGGCGAAACGGAGTGAGATGGTGGCGGAGTTGTTAATACCTTAATCTTTAATTTATCAATGATTTTCCTTCATGGTTGAGTGTTATGGAGTTTACTCTAAAACATGTTCAACTTATCACAGTAGTTCTTTGTGGCCACTGAAATAAGTCTAGACAATTAAAAATGAATCCATGTTTCGGTCTAGGGTGCAAGGAATGCACTGGGGTGAGTCTTAGATGATGAGAATGCTCTAGAGATATGAGTATTCCTCACAACATCAATCGGGTTTGATGTTGAGTTGTTCATTGACTCTAAACTAGTGATTTCCTTTTCCTTGTCAAGGTTAGATTAAACTTAACTCATGGCATCTGTCATTCCCCATCGGGACTACTATGGCAAGAGAATAGATAGCTCGAGTACTTGAGCAAAGTGCTTGTATACTGGACCGGAAATTCCATATATGAAAATTGCCACCTGCGTGTAAGAAGTACAATGGGGCGGTGATGAGTCCTTAGAAAAGCTCACCCAGTAGTTGAAAAAGATCACCGTGGAATAGTACAACAAGGCAGGTGTCCACGTAAAGCACTCGACATTACCCCTGCAGAAGAGTGACTGTGGAACTAAGCGGTGTAAATGAGTTGGTGTCAAATCTAATATAATTTAGGGGACCTCACACATCCCTATAACTAGTGTGAATGTAACTGATGTTTTTTTTAAAAAATGTTTTGGATAAATGAGAAATGTGCTGGGTTAAATCTTCTACAATTTGAATTTTCCTTCCTTGTCAGGGTATATACAGTGTTAATTCTGTTAATACCAGATTTACAACAGTGTGTTCTTTGTGAGTATGAACAAGTCCCAGACATATATGATAGATTCATATTTCGGTCTACCGATTATATATCTAAGTGGTGCTGCCGAATCAATAAAATAATCTGTGTGTTTGTAAACGTAAGTGATGTTTTTACATCTCGGATGTTACGCAACGGGTCAGATATGGTCAGAGATTAGATAGCTCGAGTACTTGACAGGCAGAACTATGTACAAAAATAGCTAGCGGCATTTATGAAGCACAAAGATGCAGTGGTGAGCCATCTGACAAACTCACCCTGTGGTTGTAAAAGTGCCACTGTGAAATAAGCCTACACGGCAGGTGTTAACTTCGACTCATACACACGGGCAGACATTCAACTAACTTTACATTTTGAGCACATAAGAGTGATTCCAGTTATATTAAGGTCTCGGCATTAACGATATTTTGAGGGGATATCTGCATTGAGGACTATTACAAGAAATGAAATACATAGCTGATTTCATCGTTAGCTGAAGTTTGTTTACAAAGTTGACTTAGATAGATCAGAAATTACAGCAATGACATTGATTGCAACATTTAAAAATTAATTACACAATCTTCAAACAAACAACATAAATTAATAACAATTTGATACTTAAAAGTATAACTATAAACATGTCATACAAAATAAAATCAATTAATAGCCCTGATTTAGCCAAAACATGTAAATAATTCTTCACTTATAAAATCATGTAATGAAACCTCCAAAAAATATATTAAACAAAAGTCCAAGGATGCAAAACGACAGCCCAAACAATCACACTTAAAATCAACAATTTTAAACAAAAAAGTTCTATAAATTTTGTAACAAATAACCAAAAACAACAAAAATGATTGAATACGATAATAATAGGACAGATTGGAAAAATCATGAAAACAATAAAATAAAAATACCAAAAAAACAATTACAATTTACATTAAGCCGCAACAACAACAATGTGTGGCCCTAATGTCAAGGTAAAAACGTTAACTTTAATGTAACTCTTGTACTTAACCCACAATCATAAAAATATAATTAAAAAAACTACAAAAAAAAATCTCAAAAAAATAATCTGTAATTCCCCACGACGAAAAAATGCTGAGCTTTTTATCGTTTCTTTAAAAAAAGATGCATTTCAAAGATTGTAATGTTCGAATGTATGTAGTGCGTATGAGTGTGTTTGTAGTTGAAGTTGCTGTATCTTTGATTGTAAACTTATTTTATGTAAATTTTTTTTATTAAGATTTTTTATTGGCATTTTTTTATTTGCTTGTCTTTTGCTTTTTGATTTATTTAACCACTTTTATGCTCAATTTAAACAAATCAATTATGCTACGCGACCAACAAAACAAGCATCTAATAAACACACTTTTCATGATTTATACCAGGTATGGAAAATTAAGTCTATACTCTATAGACTAGACTATAGACTAGACTATAGACTAGACTATAGACTAGACTATAGACTAGACTATAGACTAGACTATAGACTAGACTATAGACTAGACTATAGACTAGACTATAGACTAGACTATAGACTAGACTATAGACTAGACTATAGACTAGACTATAGACTAGACTATAGACTAGACTATGGACTAGACTATAGACTAGACTAGACTAGACTATAGACTAGACTATAGACTAGTCTATAGTCTAGTCTATAGTCTAGTCTATAGTCTAGTCTATAGTCTAGTCTATAGTCTAGTCTATAGTCTAGTCTATAGTCTAGTCTATAGTCTAGTCTATAGTCTAGTCTATAGTCTAGTCTATAGTCTAGTCTATAGTCTAGTCTATGGTCTAGTCTATAGTCTAGTCTATAGTCTAGTCTATAGTCTAGTCTATAGTCTAGTCTAGTCTATAGTCTAGTCTATAGTCTAGTCTATAGTCTAGTCTATAGTCTAGTCTATAGTCTAGTCTATGGTCTAGTCTATAGTCTAGTCTATAGTCTAGTCTATAGTCTAGTCTATAGTCTAGTCTATAGTCTAGTCTATAGTCTAGTCTATAGTCTAGTCTATGGTCTAGTCTATAGTCTAGTCTATAGTCCTAGTCTATAGTCTAGTCTATAGTCTAGTCTATAGTCTAGTCTATAGTCTAGTCTATAGTCTAGTCTATAGTCTAGTCTATAGTCTAGTCTATAGTCTAGTCTATAGTCTAGTCTATAGTCTAGTCTATAGTCTAGTCTATAGTCTAGTCTATAGTCTAGTCTATAGTCTAGTCTATAGTCTAGTCTATAGTCTAGTCTATAGTAGTCTATAGTCTAGTCTATAGTCTAGTCTATAGTCTAGTCTATAGTCTAGTCTATAGTCTAGTCTATATCTAGTCTATAGTCTAGTCTATAGTCTAGTCTATAGTCTAGTCTATAGTCTAGTCTATAGTCCTAGTCTATAGTCTAGTCTATAGTCTACTATAGTCTAGTCTATAGTCTAGTCTATAGTCTAGTCTATAGTCTAGTCTATAGTCTAGTCTATAGTCTAGTCTATAGTCTAGTCTATAGTCTAGTCTATAGTCTAGTCTATAGTCTAGTCTATAGTCTAGTCTATAGTCTAGTCTATAGTCTAGTCTATAGTCTAGTCTATAGTCTAGTCTATAGTCTAGTCTATAGTCTAGTCTATAGTCTAGTCTATAGTCTAGTCTATAGTCTAGTCTATAGTCTAGTCTATAGTCTAGTCTATAGTCTAGTCTATAGTCTAGTCTATAGTCTAGTCTATAGTCTAGTCTATAGTCTAGTCTATAGTCTAGTCTATAGTCTAGTCTATAGTCTAGTCTATAGTCTAGTCTATAGTCTATAGTCTAGTCTATAGTCTATAGTCTAGTCTATAGTCTAGTCTATAGTCTAGTCTATAGTC